CGCATTGATAGTCATGTCGCACAATGTCTAGCAATACCTGTACGTTCACTCAACCCCTAAAGATTTTCATCAATATGCAAAATTCTGGTTTTCGATATGCAATTTTGATTTTTTCTCTTTTCCATCGATCGGAATTACGACAATGTAGTTCAATGTCTGAAAAGGGAATTCGTTTTGAAATAGANGAAATAGACATACCCACTCAATCAACTCTACTTCTAGAATGCCAGTAGGGTTAAACAATTATATGCTCAGAGAACTGTCAACTCTCAGTCCAACTATCCTCAAACTAGACCACCTCAATTCCACTTTTTGATGATTGTATGACGCATTTGGATGCATGCCCATCTTCATTATTTGTTTTTACAAGCCGAAATGTTTTAAACAAAGGGCGTAATTGCAACGCTTCTATCCTGTAGACTTCGTCATCGTGATGCGGTCACAGACTGGACACTGGGGACAATGTTTTGAGTACGATTGTTCCGGAAATCTGAACGTATAATAATTCGAACGACACTAATTTATAGTCAAACGGATCATATTTTTTGGGTGTTTTAAAATCAGTGTTGGCCGCACACAAAAGTCCAAATGGCTGTTGTTCATCAAGGAACCATTATAAATTTGGCTAATCTATGCGCTGATGCAGTTTTTTTAGTATATATGCGATTTATAAGGATTACAAAATCTTTTTCACCCATGATGAACTGTTCGACCTATCGCGTTCAATAAGTCGTTCGAGTGCGCTTTCCTTTAATGACTGTCAAAAGTTCTCAAATGTATGTATAAGAAGTCAATATAAAATTTATTCTTCACGCGTACATGCTCAAAATTAGATCTTTCAAACCACAATTGTGTCCGTTGAAACGGAAGCGGATATGTACGGTCTCATTCATAGAATCTGCCTTGTCCTGGTCGATCTGATTAGTTACTAACAATAGACTAAACATACGGGGTGTATGTTAATGGAGTTCGTATTCACGAAGTACATTGAAACCGTTGATGTGCGAAGATGGTTTAATGAATTATTCTTTGAAAAAATCAAAACTTTCGAAATGCACAACTGATGGAAATCAATTTTTCTGCATGGTAACCATCACCATGCTAATACCCGAAGAATTCCGTAAGCCTTGTGCAATATCAACCCATGATTATGTCAAACATATCTACCGGACACAATAAAAACATCAAATATTTTAACGCACCCATATAAGTAACTAATTTAATTCTGCGACGAAAAAATGAAAACAACACGGTTTCGTCAACAACGGATTGTAAATTACGAGAGAAAGTTGACCCAGCCTTACTTTCATTCGTGATACAACCAATTCAATAATGCGTGCATTTTCTAACTTCTTGACCATTTATATTTAAATCAGAATTATTCATTATTGCCTAACTGGTTACCGTTTCTAGCAGACCGAATCACCGTGATAGGCATTATGTGGCTAACGATGCTAACACAGAAAATACAAAACTACTTTAATCAATTTCAGAGATGACCAAATATCGACATGGAAAAATTAAACTTCGGTAAAATGATCAATGTTTGGACGCTTACAAAGTAATTCGCTAATGTCACTCCGTACGTAACTAGCACAGTTTTCCCGTAAAACGTTGATCACAAAATGAAGACTAAAATGCAAACAGATTTACGAAAAACATGGAATTTGAGTGTCTCCAGCGGTTAAAACAACTAGATTTGTGTCCGGACGTTCTGTCCTGTCTTCTGTCAATGTTCTTGTTTCAGCTCACCAAACACGACAGAACACTGTTGAGTCTGAACCTATTTATTCATGCTTCATGTTGCTGAGTTCGGACAGTATAGATAGTTATCTACTGTCAATGGTGTAACGTGTGTAACGAGAATTTATAGGAAAAGCCTTCCGCATTTGTGAACAGTACATTCCAGTTATGGCTAATCCAAATTTGCTCTAAACTTTTTATATTTTCCAATCAAAGTTTTAAATTCAAATGTCACTTGGAATCGACAAGATATCACTTTGTCCACTCAAAATCAACAAGAAGGTTTTTAACTTGGCAACAATTTTATCAACCAGAGATTTTTGGCTGTAAGGATTGCCTCCGCAACATCTAATCATTTGCCAATAGTAACGCTATTTTTTGCTATATATAGTATATGTCCGGAGTAGGTTTCGCCAAAGATCCATCAAAAATCGATATTCCTAATTAGAAAAAGAGAGATCAAGGACATCACGTTTATTAATGGCGTCCCGTTTGATGTTTTAGATTTGGCTTTCAACGGGTCATTCGTTCAAAATGTGACTTTGAGAAAAAAGCTGTTTCAACTCCCGTCCATATTCTGAGTTATGTTTTTCACACTGGATCATTTATCGTAGCATGTAAAGCGAAAAAAACTATTTCAAAAGAAACTCTAATTACCGGAGATATATTCCATATAAATGGTACACTGAAAACACTCACCTATATATGTAGTCAGGCAACACCTGAGAGAATGCAGTCACGTTATTCTTCAATGTGAATTCATAACTTGTTTTCAATGAGTTGAAACATAATGATGGCTAACAACAGCACAACAACAATCTTAAGGATAACCATAAGAAAATGTGTACTTAACTTTTGCGGTGCATGTGCTGACAGTAAAAGATTCACATAAACGTCCTTGGTGCTCCGAAAACTCTCAGATAATTATCTGGTTGATACACGAGATTCAGCAGACAACTCTGCATTTTTCGGTATCACAGTACTCTTCACAAGTTGATCAATCCAATTTCACCGCTTTTGGTTTATATCCTTGTGTAAGAGGGAACAAGTGTGTTTCCGAAAACGAAAGGCAGTTTTGGCTGTCAATCAGATAAACATCCGTAGTCATCCGAGAGGAAATGATGGCTCAGCACAATTCGCGCACTTTCCCCTCACAACAACAAAATAGCCGAATCAGACAAAGTTGAACCGATCGGTTCTCATTTCACTCTTTTAAGTTGGGTTATGAACCAAACTAAGAAAAAAAGATACAAAAAGAAGTGCTTTGACGAAGCTCCACGAAAAACTCCTCAGATAGTTCGCTGTCAAAGTTGTACCATTGCTGAATTGGCGAAACTAATCCAAAAGCGAGTATAATTGAATAAATCTGGTCACAACCAGGATACTTTTTGGATGTTCTGGACCGATTCAAAAAGGAAAACGGACTAATCACGTTTGCGCTCCTCGTAGCTGCGTTAGCCGATACCGTGAAGACTTGAAAATACGATCCGTGACAGAGTACAGCAAAACGGGTTGTTCACCTATGTTCAATGTGTCTATTGAGCGAAATGTTTGAACTATGTAGCAATGGATGAAAAACTTGTACTCAACACTATACAGCAGATCATTCTTTCTTGCTGGTGACTCGGATGGTATCTGATGATCGTCTGTTCATTTTAATTCTTTGTCTGACTAACTTGATTGTTTGGGATGGAAAATCCGATAACAAAAATAGTAACCAGCAGCATAGGTTCCTTATATCGGGTAAATCAAATCTCGAATACAAAATGTCTGCAAAAATTTACCAATAAACTATGATCGACAAAACCATTTTTCACAGAAAATAAATCATCAGTAAAAGCCACGAGGAGAGAAGCTTAATTCTATTCATTGTGAAGCACTAGTGTTTATAGTTTGGATATAAATAGTTCGTTATATATGGTTCTCGTTATCTCCATGAGGCTTAGGGGAGCCATATAAAGCAGCCGACTGAAAGGAACAGCGCGGCAACTGTCATCGCTTGACAAAAGTTAGTTTCAACAGTCAGGATTAGTTCGGGTTAATTAATGCAGCTCCTTCATCTGCGGTTTCTCTTCTAATTAAGCGTAAATGCTCGTTTAATCTGTTCCCTTGTTTCCGTGGATAACCCGTTGGGTTCCTCAAATGGCTTTTTTAATGCCCTAACACTTAAACTAATAGATAAATCCTATACACCCTTCACTGAGGAACATATTGAATACGTTTTAAACAATCTGATTAAAGCTGGTTTCGTTATTCAGTGAGTAGCACAAAATTGTTTTCTTCATATATATACGGCTGTAAATTGATCAAATTTCCCGGTATGTTTATATCAAACACCTAACATCAAAGCGACCTGGTTTTGTCAATCAATCCCCAATCCTACCTATTCGTTAGCCAAGTCCACTAGCGGAAGGAAGCGCTATTCAGATTTTGTGCTATCAGGGTTCTATTACGGTAACATTATCTTACGACATTTGAAGTTCACGCTTCTTTCTCATATCAGGAGGTGGTCGATGATGAGTTTCGTTTCAACATCACACAATCGAATTTTTTTACGTGACTAACATGGATTTATTTACAAAGTTTCTGGTTATTTTCAATTCCGAGTTGTTCTCAAATTCACCTGAAAATAAGATCTTCCAGTGATGATTAGGTAGTGTACGGTTTTGACCGTTCTAATAATGAGACGACAGAATGCTATTAGTCATAAATACTCGTGTTCGGAAACACAGATCAATTCATTTGAATACTTTGCAAAAATGACTTTATTCATCTTTTTTATTATCGTCTTAGGGAAAGTAGAACTCCGCTTCACAGTCCGTGTATCGTGTGATAGGTGGAACATCCCGCGTTTCGTGTTATGATGGCAATGCATTGCGTTTCACGTTGCGGTGCGATTACTGCTAATCACAGACAAAAATTGCTTCCGGATTCTTATCAAACAAAACGAAGATTTTCTGTAGGTAAACCAACTGTTAACTTTTACGCTTAGAGTGTGACTGAAGCCAGTGGTGAACGATAGCTAAGTATCAACCTTGACAGAGATGTAATTATTCTTCGTCGGCAATAGGAATCGAAACTTTAGAGAATTAACTAATGTGTACCTGTTTCTGTTACGTGCTCTATGTTCGACTTTAATTGCGAACCAAAACGTAACTGTGCAGTATTATTTTCAAATGAAATAAATTAAATAGAAATTAACCAACATACACCCAGCCAAATCGGTTATTCTCATCTCACTCACCTTTTGCTCGAGTTCGTCCAAAGATGCTGGAAGCCCCGTGAGAGTAGGCTTCAAAAGGTTGGTCCAAATACGCCTTTGTTCGGTACTGCGAATTCCAAACTCAAGAACGTTTGATTGACCGTCAAACATATCTAGCGTCAGATTCACTGTGACATACCGTGGAATGGGGCTTTCCGGGCCAAAAATGACCGAAGTTTCAATGTTTAGACCAATCTGAAGGAAAGCACAGGAACGCAAACATTTTGAAAATGTGAAATTTTGAAAATGCGAGATTCTTTTGACAAAAATGAAGGCAGTTGTTTTAAAAGAACCTGGCAGGCAAATATACCATTAATAAACCAGTGAGAACTTCTTCGGGCTAGAATATACCTTGCTCAAACCTGAGCCTCCCACAACTGTGTTTCTAATTGAAAACGTATAACGAGGACGCTAAAGAATAACGAGTGATTTGTTCAACTATGGATTTATCGGAAGATGCAAAATTCACTGTTTGTTAATTGAAAGTATTATAAATAAAATGTAAGATTAATCGGTGAATGAAACGATAAAAGTCAATAAATTTCGTCGTTCATCTGGGGATGACAGGACTATGCTATAAAACATGAGGTTATAATGAAGTATCTTTCGTCACTAGCAAACACGTAGCTGTATAAGCTCATCGTGTTTAAACATAAATGGGTCGTTTGTAATTCGCGGAAGATTCTCATAGGAATAGCCAAACAGCATGGCGAACAAGCTTGCTTTCGTAACTTCGTACTCAGGCCTTTACAGTTATCTGTGCGTATTTATATCTAATGTAGAAATAAATGCGGTTGGACCATAGAGGTTATGTATGAAAATGCAACAATGTCTGTCAAGTTTATTCAGAACCAGTGGATAATATGGGGACAGTGGGCAATTTATCTAGCAAATAAACACAGCGACAGGAACTTCGTCAATTGGAAACCCAGTAGGTAACATTCGTATCGTGGTACCTAGGCTTTCCTCCCGACACTGTGTGAGGTATTGACACCTCCTTGGACAGCTACGGCCCACGCAAGCGGGAAAGTTATCATCCAGTAAGGTTATGTTCCGTTGACGTTCTACTTGTGTTATCGGAAGCATGGGAATAAGAACAGAACTTGAATGGCGATTTCACAACGAAAGCCAATACACAATCTAAACTCTAAGGTTTTACGCGACAGGCCTGTAGCGCTATCCAGGCGAGTGCTTTAGTTATGTCCCCGCGTTGAACCTAAACCATAATATCCTGCGAAACAGAATCTGATAGCAATGCTTTGGTAAGGCCTTGTGAAAGAAGTTCCTTGCAACAACTTGCGTTTGCATGAATACTTGTGAGTTCTTTAGTATCACGTACCATTTGGATATTCATCGATCCTTCGTGCCCAGGTTTTCCTCATAATCTCAGAACGCATCCTCAAGTTATACTAATCCGAATTTGACTAAAAAAGTTAAACAAAGCGGAAGCCAAACTACGTTTGTCTCTCCAACCGGCTGCATTCATTGTTCATACACCCTAACAGTTCAGTCAACAAGCTGCGTTAGGTAGAACGCTTGAGATTTTCAGGCTAGACATTTGCTATGTCTCTGAAACCCGCAAAAAATCTACCCATCCCTAGTTTTCACACTGCGTTTCTCAGGTCCAACATTATTCTCATGCTTCACTCGTCCTGCGTCAGACGATTCGACATCTAACGCATGCTTTATCGACGGCGTTGAGATAGCGGCAAGTGAGAAGCCCAAAAGTTCGTATTTTGGCTGGATTTCAGTCTTCAGCAAACGGTCTTCTGTACATCTCAATGATTCAGTACACGTCAGCGGATACAGAAGAAAAATCGTCGGTGTTTATTTATTGTTTGCGCTAGTGCACCAGCTGATTGCAACACACCAAAAATGAAGTCTAAATTCTTCGCGGGCCCTTCGAAGCTACACAGCGAACGTCAGATTTCAACTCAGAAGGAGTTATTCGTCGGGGGTTGCCCTTTTTATCCTTTTTGTATTCAAAGTTGTAATGGATTGAATTTTGGAAACAGACCTGTCTTTGTACGAAGATGTCGTCAATAATATGCTTCAGGATGGCATGGTGCCTGATGTGTACTGTACAAACGGAATTGTACTGCTCACTGAAGATCAATAAAATTTACAAGCCTCCATGAATTCTTCGAGTTTTAGCGTAGCTATTTTTAATATGTCTTCTGTATTTTCAAAATGAAAAAAGCTGCCACAAAGATGGGTTGGTTCGGCTCCCCACCGTACCGTAACTGGGAAAGCGTTAGAGGAAGTAGTTAAATTTTGTTATTTGGCAATTACGCTTCAACAAGTTGCTGCGTTATGGATAAAGTGTTGGCATACATACAGGCGGTTCAGTTGGCATTTGCCCATGTAATAGATATGCCGCGGTCTTTGTATGTGGTGGGTCTGTTCGAAGCTGAGGTAGTTCTATCAGTGATGATATATGGTGTAGATATCTGTACGTTCAGAGGAACAAGATAAATTCAGACAATCGGTGTTCAAATACCGTTCATGACGCCGCATTTCACATTGGAGTGACTGAACAAGTAACATTAGGCAATCGCAGTCGGCCATTATGGCCAGTATTTAATTTATTTTGATCAGGCTACCCGGGGTATGCATAACTTACATCATGAAATGGATCACCATACCGTACAATGTTGGGGATGCAGATAATGGGTGGAAAATATAAGAGTGGGTAACAGAAGAACTGGCATGAGTGCGTGAAAACCCTGATTACGAGATTCAGTTAGACCTCCCCCAAATAGATCTCGAGATCGGCTGAACTGATGGTTACAAATACTGAGTGATGAGGCTGTGTCCAAAATGGTGACACTCGTGCATCTATCTAATTTATTAGTAAGCCTAATAGAACGAATTCTCTTTTTCATCTCCACACTATTTGCGACACGCGAAACTTCCCTTTACTGTTTCATCAACACGGATAAATTATGACAGCGACCGAATGCGCCGCGCGAAGTGCGTGACTTTTAGTTGTACGAGCTAAACTGAACAAACTGAGCTGACCACAAAACATAAATATTGAAAGTTTCAAACCCGGAAAATTTGCTAAAACTGATTAAGAACACACCATATAGGTGAACATATGTTTTCGGCGAATCTCTTTTCAAGCCTTTACAATCATATTTATATGGGAAAACATTTCAACGGGGTAAAACAGAAATGTGTGGATTAATCATGCGTGTGGTACTGAGCCGGAGAGACCTCAAATTGATATGCTATTTGGATCACTTAACCAAATTTGGTGTTACTTTATGGTCATTTAAACAAAAGTTTTGCTCTTCTCTTGGTCAGGTGAGTTTGTAAACTTGGAACTATTTTCGTCGTGCGCACATTCCGAAATCCTTTTACTTTTGAGGAGTGCGTGAAAATCGATAGACGGTTTGGAGTGTTGTGCGCATATCAACCAAGCGTCCCAGCTTTACCAAATGGGTGACAATCGAGCTTGATGCAACTCCGCTGTCGCCATGGGTGAGCCAGCGTGGGTTGTGTTTTGTGATATGTCGTGATAACTGGTTTGTCATTCGACCTACATGAGTCATACCAAAGGACATTTAGATCGATGGGCAGTCATAGGTGAGGTCAACAAAGACAGCTTATCTTTGTTGTGACATGGGATGCTTGTTTATGTAGAGAACGAAGCTGAGCAGTATTAAAGGTGGATTTCGTATCGACGGATACAACTTTGTTGACCTTGTCATCTGCATCATTTTCCTTTAATCAATGTTTTTTAACGCAGCATAGAGAATTTTGGCTAAGTAATCTAAACTATCACCCAATTAGGGTTCGCCCTTATTATAATTTCCTAATCAGTGGGTATATTTCGTGATTTGTAAGCTAAGTAAGTTGCTTAGAGCGTAAGTCGCAAACAAATTTGTCAAAGTTTCACATCACACCTCACTGACCGCATGCCACGCGAAGTGAGTATTACCACTGGTAACAAAAATGATCATCCTAATAACTACTCATAAGGTTTTCTTGGAAAAACGTATTGACAAAATAGCATTGCGTGGTCGAAATACTGTAGGCTTCGATTTTATATTCATCAGAACGATTCTGGAGTGAAGCGGCATCTCAAGCACTGATGACGTTACCTCGGCTGATGATGAAACGTTTGTAAGCAAATTACCATGCTCGGCGAACAGGCGAAACTAAATTCAGGTTACCCGTTTTTCTATCAACAGTGTATATTTCGTGAACACCTTATTACTACAGTTTTGTACTTTGTCCATTTCTCTGGCATTCCTGTGGACTCTTGCTGGTTCCAGATCCTTACTTTTCCAAATTTTATTACCCGAAAATTCTATATAGAATACCATCTTGTATATAATAAAAAAAATAGTTATCTGAGAATCCGGATCATGAACAATATGCAAATTTATAATTGGTTATTTTGATATAAACAGCTAAACTTACGTTCTTGGAGTGATAGAAGCTTGCATAATGTTTGGAGAAGGACCGTCGATTGAGTCGAAATCGTCTTCGAAATTGCGCAATATGTTTCTCAAATGGACCAATGTACTTTGCCCATGGTTGAGCCGTTGGTCCGGTTATGCTGGCCAAATTGGTTAAATGACTTAAAACGTACGATCCAAACTACAGTCAAAACGATAGAAACGAACGGCAGGGGGACGGAGACGGTTTCGATGAATTGCTTCGGTTTAGTTTGGAGCTAGACGTACTAAAACTGGACTGAATCACATCAGAAAATGGTTGACTGTACATTGAGGAACATGGCACTAATCGAGTCAATGAAGGATGCAAAAACCCACAATCATTATTGAGCCACATGTTGGACTTCATTGTATTGTATAGTATTGTATTGTATTGTGTATAACTTTTGCAAGCACTGGAGCTCACATTTCATACACGCTAACAGTCACAATGTACATAATCAACGGGGAGAAAAGTTTTCACAGGCATGAACACATTCATAATCCAAGGTTAAGACAAAGTTCACTCATTGTTCGCTCTTTGTTTGTGAGTAGACGAGCAAGATACGGTATGGGTGAATCGCGGCATGCATTAATTCGAGATGAAATTTGACGAAATTGGGAGCGCGTTGAATGATGGGAATGACAAAGTGTCACTTCTGCATACAATGGGTGGTCCGGATCTGTGAGGATCCTCTCGGCAAATTTTAAACAGGAAGTTATGTGATACTCGGAAAGCTTTACACCTAATTCATTCACAGGAATGAAAGAGACACGACTAACATTGGTTAGATCGCGTCGTAAGACTTTGCAAATAGTTATCTTCATTCGGTTTGAACTTGCTGAGCATTTGCGAATAAGTTGTGTCACAATACGCTCAAGGAAGCATCCATTAATATGGTTATATTCGTTTTACATAGAGAGTTCATGTCTACGTGTGATTGATTTGAACACTTGAGAAGTTAACGGTATAATACACTTTTAAATAGGCAAATGCACTAATGTCCTCATCCCATCTAGAGGAAGTTCGCTCTCAACAAGGTGCATTCGCACCTTGTGTCACCCTCTCACCATCATACCCAATGATTTATACATTTTGGGATCCACTATTCCAGGTCCAGAATAACCGTATAGTCTAGGTACCCTTCGAGAACAAATATAAACCATCCTGAGATGATAAAAGACAAAATCAATTCACCAGAGGTATTGGCGATGGAAGTAATAAGCTAAGCTAAATAATTACGGGTATACGGATTCGTTCAAACTATTTTAACTTCTCGGGGGAAGATAAAGTCTGTCGCATACCTACTGGAGACGAATTACTGAGGCCGACACGAGGATTTCATTTTTATGGTTTTTGCATGTGACAGTAAAAACATCATTTATGTGCGTTCCACGTTTTAGATCATTGTGAGAAAAACTTCATCAAATTCGCAATACTCGCGACGATCTGCCTGTGTTTACCTTTGATTGTGTGTGTGTTGAGCCAAAGGACAAGATAGTTGATATTTTAGTCTGTCCGATAAAAAGAACTGTCGCGACAGCAGAGCTATTGTGTTGCTGGCGTGTATCACAACGGGAAGTGTGCATTTATGAATCGTGCAAACTTTAAAAGAACACCGAAAAGTCACAGACTTCTACTTTCCATCCACCTAGGAGAATGTCATCATCGGAGTATAATATCTGTAACTATAAAATAAATGCAACGAATATAATTCCGGTTATCTATTTGTGTCATTAATGGAATTTGTTAACGCCGTTGTCATATAATAGTAGAAAGAGAGTGCAATCTTCCACGTTATGTGAAACGTTTTACACCGCATATTGCGAGTGAAGTGCCACCCCTTTGGAATGCAAGCGCGAATGTCACAATTTGATCCGGTTGTAGGCGATGCTTCCACTTCTCGTGTTCCAGTCATACTGGAAACTAGATATAAATACGGTGATAAAAAGCCATTTATCCAACTTCCTATTTACATAATAACACGTGCAGAGGGATGTAACCGTGTCTTGCATTAAACGTGCTCCCGTGGGCGATAGCTAGCTTTTTGACCTCCTAAAATGATCACGTTTTGGTGTTGCTTGCAAATTGTATTTGAAGATTATTTAGAAGGACGAAACGATGTCAGTTACATTGTATTAGAATGTTGTTTGATTCGTTCTGCAAACCAATAGTCATGTATCTCACTGAGCCACTCAATCCGATATATTACTCAACCGGAATATCATTGATTGTTCTATCCTACTAAAGACGAAGCGAACTCATTGCCGTCGAACGAACTCCGTGTGATGAGATGGAAAAAGATCAATAGGAAAATGTGGCTCTTTTCCTTGAAATCGTGTTAATAACATTGATTCTAGTAAAGCTTAAATTTAACGATTGTTCCACTTTACGTGCGTATGTTATTTTCAATATAATTTCTTCCTTATTTCATAAGTGCACTGCATTATTTAGAGAAGAAAGAGAAAGAGCTCACAGGGGATTTTTCAAACCGTGTGTTACTGCTCCCATGAACCAGTTTTTCGAAGTCCCGTTTTATTACTCAAAATTTTGCTTTGCATCACATCAAACAAGCAGACCGGTCCCCAGTGAGATATCTGTCATTTTGCGTCAGTTCAGTTACATTGTCACTAGGAGTAGTAAAATCAAAGAATATCAGAAATTCTTTAGAAGCACTGTGTACCTCATCTGGGTTTTAGTGGTTGCCAATGCATGCATACTTGCTGCCACCGATCTGCTGGCATACGCGAACTCAAAAATGCCCTCGTCTTCATTTACATGTGTTTTTCAAAACGGGGTCGAAAAACCCACCCGGCTGATGAGCACAGATTGTATGTGGCGCGTGATTAGGACTTCAATTATCGTGCCTACTCATGGAAAACAAAGCACTCTATTCATTTTAGTAATCCTGTTTGTGAATCATTTGAGTTCGGAAATGCAAAACTCACCTGCTGCGAGGATTCATTCTGCAAAAATTGAATCATTTCTTCCAGTTTGTCGGCCTCTGGACAACGCATATAGGATCTGTAAGCCATGATTCGGAGTTCCACATCGACCAGCGGATCTGACATATACGTGCGAAGTACACCCTAGAATAGAATTAAAATGTTGTTTGTTTAAATGCTACGGAAGTATTTGTGATATCCAACAAAAAGCATTGGGCAACTGATTCCAAACATTCACCCTCTAAAATGTGTTAAAATTATAACCATCATAACGTGCTTAGAGTAGTAACCAGCCATCGGAGTGTGTATCGTTTGTAGTGAGGACTATATCTACAACGCACATTTGATTCACGACTGCATCATTTATTTAAACCTGTCATGCTAAACTTTCTGAATCATATTTTGGCATCTTTGAAGTAGTTTTACATCCAGTGGGTGACGAACAACGTCGGCTATATTCAGATAGTTTTTTTCTACCGCTGGTTTGATAGAAGCGCAGTGATCATGCTGTGCTGTTGTTCAATTACATTTGTTACTCTTCTGTCAAAGTAATCGACACAAACAACGTGCACACATTCATAACCTTTGCAAAGTTGCAGAGCTTCGCTCCTTTCATTAGATCGATATCTCACAAGGAAGAGTACAACCCTTCAACCGTGTGGCACGAAGCTTTTTGACAGTCTACAATAACTACTAGCCTCATTGACACAGGTAAAAGTTACCAAACCCAGCAGCCGGAAATCATCTATTTAAAACCGTACAAAGAAATGGATATTTTTGAGGGACCTTACTTGCAGAAGGTACAACCGACCTACAAATGCATCCCCCCGCAACAATTAGCGACTGCTGCGCGAAGATTTACTATTTATTCCAAACCCCAAGCATTCGTGCGAACATGTTACCTCAGTTCAAAAAGTTAAAATTGGAATACCGGCGCTCATTTCCTCTGGAGGAGCCACAACAAATACAATTGAAGCCGCTGAAATGCTGAAGAACCCGTATGCTCAAGCTTTTGCTGCATCGACTAATAAAGGACTGTATCTCCCTCGCCGGATGCATCATATTTCACACCCTTCACTAACCACCGAAAAGGTTAAAGCAAAGTTACTGGCTTTGAGGAAGAATTCATCGCCAGGTGCAGACAATATTCATCCACAAATCTTTATCTGCTTGGGCGAAACAAATATCCGAGCCACTAGCCTTTCTCGTCCAGAGGATGTTCAATCACACTGCAATCTCACTGACCTGGAATCAAGGAGTAAGTTCACCAATTGACAAAAGCCGCAGCGATCCCGCTAACTAGCGCCCTGTAACCCTCCGTTCAGTGTTTACAAAATTATNCTAGAGATGCACAACCTGCTTCCACCAAATCAATATGAATTACGACAGAAGCGATGCTGTGCTACCAATTTGCTCATCGCACGAGAAGTATAGACTGAAGCAGTTGATAACGGCGACGTGGTGGACGTTATTTATCTAGACTTCTCAAAAGCGTTTGTTCGGGTGAATCACAACATTCTACTCCGGAAACTCTCAAATTACGTTATTCGAAACCTCATGCTCGTTTGAATCGATGCATTTCTCCGAAATCGGACCCTATCGGTTCGTGTTTCTGATTCGCTTTCCTTCCTGTGCACCGTACTCGTGGGGTTTCACAAAGATCTGTACTGAGCCCGCATCTTTTCTTAACATTCATAAACGATCTACCAAAAGCTCTCTGGCCAACCTCACTACTGTTTGCAGATGACTCCAGAAAAGGATGAAAGCAGCTCATTTCTGGTTTTTATTGAACGATATTTAATTCAGTGTGCCTTAGTGTAAGGTTATGTCTCGTCGACACTAGGAGTGATTTTCGTAATTCCTCGGAACTGAACAACTGCCACACGCCTCAAGTGAGAAGAACCTGGGAATCATCAGTCAAGAAAACTTAAGCTGCTCCCTCAATCGCGCCAAGGGGTCGAACGCAGCTGTGAAGAATGTGGGTTTGCTTAGGCGAGTCTTCTGACGGTTTGAGTGAGAGCTTTTCCCCCGTCTAGAATCAGCACGCATTCTCCCAGTAACAGAGTACGCAATCCAGACATGGAATCCATGGCTACAGAGTTATTGCAAAATACTGGAGCGTCCACTAAGGATGGCCAGAAACATGGTTAGGGGGTTGAATTTTTATTCAGAAACAAAAAGAGTGAAGTCGTTGGGGTTAAATTTCAGTCACTACCGGCGCATCAGAAGAGATATAACTATGGTATACCAAATAATGCAAAACCCAAGCCATCCTGGTCGCCCGCGGCTGAATTTATCACCCAAAGTTCATCTTGTAGAACATCTGTTCAAACTAGTTGTTACAAAATGCCGATTGCAATGCCGGCGTCAGTCATTCGCAGTCAGAAAGTGTCCCATTTGGAACTCTCTCCCACCCCTAGTTGACTGTGTATTGAATCATTCAAATTGAGGATTATTGTAGCATTAGCACACTTTAAATTACAACATAAGTAAAGCCGCCCGCAGCAGTGGAAGAAGCCCCTAGCATGTCACACTTTACACAAGGAATTGTATGCATTGCTGACTTTTAATCACAACACGAACCTATGGAACGATAAAAGCATGAGCTTGTAAGTTATTCCCATAATAAATCTTTGATAACTTTGAAAATGTACGAAATTTCATTTATAGCAGTAAATTTTTATTTGCTCTGAACGCTTATTCACGTAATAATATAATATTCACTTTCATTGTTTCATGGATGCCCAGTAAGAAATGTTTATACGCTGCACTTTTGCAACTGTTTTCACTTCAGTACATAGTACAATTACAACATTCTTTTGGTATTCCTCTTATACCTATTCCCGCATTGTTATGGTGGTGATTTATTTTTTTTCTTACTCAATGATTGTCGCACTCTCCTTTGCAACTCAAATCCACAAACGACTCAATATTGCCTCACTCAAACCAATATTCCCGAAATACTTGATGAATACGAACAGTTGCAATGTGTTATTCATTGCAAGCGAGCAGGATCAAGTACTCGAACAATGGTGATCAAATTCCGCTGTTCTTCCTAAGCAACCCAATATTTATATAAATGAAAGCGTTTATTACGCTGCAGCCTGTGACTTGAGAGCCTGAACACTTTTGAATGCAAAAACCAACTATTTGAAGACCAAACCAAAAATCCTTTTCCACGAGAAAAAAAGTCCATCTTAAGGCTGACTTTGATTGTATGAAGTTTTGTGCTCGTAAAATCATTCAAACTCATCAACTGATTCTTCTTTTATTTTGAATGTATCATTTTTTCTATTAAAATTCACTGAATTTTCGATTCATTTTGTATTTAACGCAACATATTCCTTTATTATTCTACCTTTCCTATCTTCTTTGAAACCACTACATAACTGCTGTATAACTGTTGTATTTCCGTTAACCCATTCAGAGGATAACTACTATAATAATTCACATTCTGAGTTCTGACTGTGTCAAACTAATAACGGAACAATAATCTTCATAATGAAGTAAAAGGTCCATTGGATGATTATAAATTCTTTCTAGACGTTTCCTTGATATTTCGAAGTGGGTATAAACTATTGTACTGCTTTGCTCATATAGACTGGGTAAATTGCATTATCGATAGTGCGTCCCAAATTGCGTAACAAAGTTTTACCATAGAAGCAGTTTATCATTTGTCTGAATTTTTACTCTTTTTGGACAGATTCGCAGAAACGTCCGCATTCTTGGCCAATCTATCGGTCTCTGACTGAGAGCCGAAGAAACACAAGCGTCTCGTGCACTGCATACCTTACAGTGCACAATCGGTTGTGCTGAATCTACATCATATACGCCATGTTGCACGTTTATTTATGCGTTCTGCTACGGTGAACTCATCTATACTGGTAACCCGCTATAGAACGTACTTTGGTTTATCGGGGTATCTGACGACTTACCGCGCGCGATTCTTTAGTTCTGATGAATAGCGACTACTGCAGATTACCTAAGCCTGTTATACGAATGTCGCACCACTTTTTAATGTAACAGCATATTATATAAATTACCATTCGTACCTCATTTTGTGGGTCACATTCCGTCAGCCGAAGGAGTTCAATGGCAGCCACACGTACGCTAACATCCAGGTCCGAATTGGACAAACATTTGGAAAAAATGGTGGAAATCCGACTTTGATCTATGAATCTTCCGATATTACCCAAGGCGTGGAAGGCAACAATTATCTGGGAGAAATCGGTAAGGAAGAAATGAAACGATGCGAATTGCGAGTGATAACCTGCTAATAGAGTTGAGGCATTGGTTGAAAAAAACGTCCGACATATTTCCTCGCATTAATTTGGAGACTGGATAGAGATTAACTCAATTATTCGGAACCGCCTGTTCATAAAACTATTTATTAATTCATCTACACGTAAAATAAATGTGTCTGGGAATAATACAAAATCATTAGATAAAATGTAAAACTGGAGACCGTTATAAACTTGATCAACCCACAAATATGAAAAGGTTTGCAATCGTCCAAAACCAGTATATCCATTTTCCTTCAATGTCCGAACAAACGTGATTACATGCATTGTTCAAAGTTAAAGTCATATCACGACCACCTTTTCCTGGGATCAACCGTTGGGTACGCTCTCCTAACAAAATCTCACGCCCAATAATGTTCAGAGTGCTCTGTGATGTGCTAAATGGGAAGTGATGGACACAGTTGAATACTATGCAAAGACAATCGTATAATGTTTAGATTTATTTGCTGCTGGTGGGGGATGGAGACTGAACCAACTGCGAGGTGACAGTAAGCTACACCGAGCACCATAATGAAGTCAGTGACCTGTTTGACAGTCCTATTTTCTACTACCACGCCCCGTTGATGAGTTCCAAAAGGATAACCGTTTGTTCTGTGCTCCTTCTAGACCATCACACACTGTGTTAGTAGATGGAAGCTCCATTTTCGGTCGGTAAGCTGTTGACGGGCATTCGGGTCTTTCTGTTTGCTCTATGACATAAAATATGATACAATCGCCTTGATTAAATATTGCCAAATATATTTAAAGCCAAACCCTATGGTGTTGGTGGTGGTAGCAAATTGGTGAATCTGTTAATCTCCTTCCTCATCTGTCTGATGTACGCGGCCGTAGGACCATATCGTTATTAATTATATTGAAATGATTTGCTTATAACTCATAATGTATGCACAGTGCCACAGGTCGCCAGACTTAATTCAAGTTTCAGTTTGTCAGTTATTCCTATAAACGCAGACTTTTGTTTGTCTCATTTTCCACCCCGGAACAATCAAAACATAGAATCGCGTTCAAAGTGAAATCGATCGAATGCCAGTGCACAACACAAAAGGCGCCAAACAGTTTGAAGTCTCGTTTCTTTGACCGAGTATGACCTTGTTTTGATCTGTTTCAGTTTCCCCAAAATAGAACGTTGAATGGAGTAACCTCATTTGACAAACCTTATTCATTTCTTCGTTTCCGTTGTACACACATTCAGTCTGTTCGATTGGTCGAAGTAAATTCCCCACAATGGAATGCAGCTTGGCGTTATTCTGGCAGTTTGAATTTTGGAGACACAATTTGTGCACGGCCTCACTGATCGGTAATGGAACAAGCGCAGCCGGATTGTCTCGTAATAGAATCTGAAGAAAGTAAACAGATTGAGGACAAAGGTATGCTTCACTCAAACGCAGAAGGAGCGGGTAAACATTAAAAACATACTCATGATTGATTGAGATATTTTTTGGGTAAAAGTTAGGTTCTTCTTATACAACGCGTTTTCAGGGTGAAAGTACTAGGGGTGGTGAATACAATGGAAAATAAGGCACTTAGTAATATACGAGATTCAGTTTAATGTGAATTTGGAACTACTCAAGTTTATTCAGCTTTTCAATCATGTATCACGGGGAAGGGAATTTCTGATTACGCACTATTGGTGCTATTTTGCTTAGCACTACTTTTTTAATTTTAGACGAAATTTATAAATCCAACACTGGTGCGTGCGCCACGACCACAATGCATATTTAGGTGACACAAACCAATACAAGCCGTATGTATGGAACACTTTATTTGAAACATATATAAACAACATATATTTTGTTTCATCTAAGGTCAATCATCTGGATGTCGACCCGGTTTCTTAATTAACCTGCTTCGAAAATCAACGTATTGAACTGAAATGATTTTTCAAAAGCCTATCCAAAAAAATTAAAAAAAGTATTACGTAACTTACCAAAGGTCGTGCGGGAATAAGAAAAAACGTAGGCTTAATTGTCTGGGCTCCATCACTTTTAATTGTAAAGCGGAAAAATTTAAATGGACAGGTTGATTTTGTCCCCAGTATTACAAGAGCAGCTTCAGTAGTACCTCCAGCACATTGAGTAAAATTTAGATGAAACATTTGTTTACTTAGTTGATGAGTTATAAACCTAGAAGTATACATTTGCAGTATTTTTATGACGAAATCAAGATGGCCATCTTGAGTTCTCAAGATTTGTATCAATTAACAAATACCAAAGCGCTTTCCTATATAAGTAAAGCGGCCGTTACACAGCAAAGATATAAAATGATCGCTTTTTGCAATAGTACCTTTAAAAATTAGGTCAGATTTGTAGTTGGGGGACCGTTTTCTTTTACTTTGATTGACAGTCTTTGGGTGATTTATATCTTAGAAAATTTTGCTTTCATGCTGTATTTTCTAAAAGTTGCAAATTATGTTCAACAGATAACAGCGGACTCAAACCTGTGCGTCATTCAACTAAAGCCAGTAACATCACCTATGGTGTTTATCACCTGCTTACTGTCATGTATTCTGGCTATCCCAATGCGAAGATTTTAAGGTTTTAAGCGTTGGTAACAGTTTATACTGAACACACCGCTGGTTTCTTGTCCGTCTATCTGAAGATCAACGACTTACCTATCACAGCAACATACCGCACTCATGCCGGCTGTTGGAAAGTTCGATTTTAAGTGAGTAATGGAGGATTTGATTCAATTTCAAATGTGAATTCGTCGTCAGGTTGTGCAAGTTTCCATTTGAGTGATAACCCTAGAGGTTAGTGCTGAGCTGATCAGGGTCTGTGGCCCGCAACAAACTCGAAAAGATGGGTTGTGCTATATTGTGTAAAAGGAAAATGAAAAGCGGTCTAATCAGCTGCTCGGTGGCGGAGTGGGTAGCATGTTTGCGTTCTGCTCATGAGGTCCACGGTTTGATCCTCACGTTGGGTCGATGAATTCGCACTGCTGATGAGACCCAACCAGGTCGAAACAGCTGTCTAGTGCTTCTTACCTTTTCACTTCACGCTCTACTTGCTGTATACACGACCAATTCACATTTGAAGTTTGATTTTACTCATTGCAACTTAACAGTTGATTTTAGGCGATGTTGTGCTTGTGCTCCATAACGCACCGTGATGGTTCCCAATGGACACATTTTATCTACACATGCCCAAGCGCAATGTTTTGAAATTCCCCAAGAGAGGAACAATGGTGGGTCAGAGTTTCCACAGCTTTTGGCCAGTTATTGATCAACGTACACATCATATATCTTTATTTAATAACTGTATTGGGTTCAACTGTCAAACCCAAAATAATGGAAATCATTTAGCGCAATGTACTGGTAAACACAAGGATTGTGCTGAACAGATGTGATTTATTATAAAGTGCATTATGCGCCACTAATAAAATATGGAACCTCCACAGTCAATTATATTTATTTATGTTTCGCTTTAGTGATATAGCATTGTTTGAACGAGCTTTGGTGATTTGTATTGGATTTGAGTCACTTATGTTTATTTTTGATAAAGCGATGTGCCTGGAAAGGGACACATCAATTAGGTATGAAATGTTCCATCGTCCTGCGAACATGTGAAAGAAAGGAAGACTAATCCAAGTGAATGTTTCCTCAATTTATCACCGGATTTTGTTGCAGCACTTCAAAATGCGCATGTAAAGCAAGATATGTAATTGCTCCAAAAAGCACATTTGTCATACAACGTCAACGTGGTAAGTCTACATGAAAAGCTTTGAAAGCATTGTGCAATTTTTGCACCTTTATTCTCAGTCACCGGCAATAGGTGTCCCCCAGTCCACTGGTATGAAACCTGATCAATAAAGTTTGGTAGTCCGTCACTCTAGCTCGTTGGATCATTCGGATTAGAATTCTACAGTTTCCAACGCGTCAACATGTGGTGTTCCTCCGTCGCTGCGGCTGTGAACACCGAAAAACACCGTACGGCTACCAACTACCTAATTCACGTGTTTTCAGCGAGGTCCCGTTCCAATTGAGTGGGAAATCTGAGTCTGCGTTGTAGTAATGTGTTTACACAAAAGTACATGGATGTGGTTTGCGTAAACGTAAGTTTAGTTAGCTCTGATACCGTTTTCCCCTCTTGAAATCGATAAGTGATTCACTCAACCGAGATTTGAGTTTGATTGGTTCCCCTTCGATATTGTTGGTGCTTGATTTTTCACAGCATGATGCTTCATGATCAAAGAACAATACACACTGGCCGAATCACTGTATCAACAATTGGAATTCCTGCCCACCACTGAATTTTACTACGTCCATTGTTTGTTTATCCCACCTTTAATTGTTTATTTTCATATATGAAAACCACATTTTGGCCTCATGTAAACCATGTCACCACAATCTAATGGAGTTAAGCACAATAAGAAACCGCTGCTCTCCGCCACTATGCATTGAAAAAACATATGAAACACGAGTTATCTAGCAACATTACTGAATGGGCTGGTCAGGGATTCAGCTTTCACGTGGATCCTTACAAAAGTGCGTTAGACCTTGGGCGTATCCACAAGGAAAAGGTCATCTGACAGTTAAAATGAGCTCTATTTATGTTTATCTACCCAGTTTGGAAATACGGATATTTTCCCTTCCAATGCTTTTCACACTTGCGGGGTGACGAAACTGGGACACATCCAACCAAGATTACTTCGGTTCGATCAGTTCATAGATTAATGACTCAGGTCATCGAAATAGTTCAGTGTTGAACGGACCGGGAAAATAACAATGTATTTAGACATTCCTAATGCGGCTTCTTCCATCCTAAACACGAGGTTCTTTGAACTCAAACGACAGTACACAAAGCGATGGTAAATCAGCTGTCTAATATGGATATTACCGAAATTAATGTAATAATCATCCAATTAGTGAAACACCTAAACACTGATTGTTGTAAATGAATACATCAATGTATTGAGAAAAAGTACTAGGCTATTATTTTCCGTATTTTCCCGTATACTCTTGATCTTTCTTGTACTCCAACTCAAACCGATCTCTGTCAGTGGTTGTTTCATTCGGCATGAGCGTTGCAATTATAGCCAATCACTGCACGGGGTTGGAGTGAGATGGTACTACAGAGTTTCCATTCGAAACCATAGAACTTTACTATATGTAAGACCGAATCTTATTAAGCTCAAGCCGGCAATTACGGTGCAGAAACTTCAGAGTTTTCCAACGCTTGATCAGCTGAAACAATACATGCAATCGCATACATAAGCGTGCGAATGCGCTGCCTAGTCTCACCAGTCGATAGTCGCTAAGACGTCAATGTTGAATCCAGATGTGCTCATCGATCGATTGTTTTGGACCAGTTCGTGTGAGCTTGATAACAGTCATTCCGAACACAATCCAATCTGCTATGTCTCCCAACGGCCGAGTTATAGGAATTATCCTGCTTGGTTTTTGGCACACACAAGATGATCTTAATGCCTCGCATGAAACCGGTAATTCACTACTTGTTCGGGATACCCATCTGATTTTTTCGATCGGGTTTGTTATCCCACACGGACATCAAATCTGAATGCCACATGGTAGTGAGGGCGCAAAAGTCACGGACACATTGTTGAAATGCAATCAGAACATAATTACTCAAATCCGCTCAATAGCTGTGGGCTGTTGAAAATCACCTTACCAATATTTTCGGCAGTTTCATTGCCTCAGCACCTAAATCCTATTCGTTATGCATTTATTTGCATAAATTTGCCCACTTTTAGAGGAAAATCGGATGGCTTGAAACTCAAATTATATCTGTAACACTTAGCCGATTGCAAGTTAATTTGTAAAATTCTGCAGAACAGAGGCGTGGGCGTTCACATTCCAGCTATCCTTGCGTGGGTTGTCAACGTTCAAATTACTTGAAACGGCGGAAGCAAAAATAAGAATACGGGATTTTACAACAAAATGTAAATGTACTAGTTTAACTGCTTGAACAAATGAATTTACTCTAAGAGTTCTGAAAACAATAAAAGACGTACAAAATCCATTAATGTGGGCTATAATATTAGTTATATCAACGATTAGATATAATCTTATTTGGGCTTTAGAATAGTGCACCCGTAAATGTCGGTCAAATGGACTATAGTCATAGATTAATCTGAAATTGATTTACACAAAGAGTGACTACACTCAATGCTAATTTTTGACTAAGGAACGTTCTAACTAGACCAGCAGACATCAAAAGGAATTTATCGGATTGAAACAATTCAGGCAGAAAATTTCCTGTCACAACCCCTCGTTGATTCCTTCCGTACCGGTATACAATTCACACTGCGGAAGTACTCACATCTAAGCTATCCAACAATTTGATCGTTGGGGTTTCGATGTTTTTCAAAGCCGTCAACACATCCGACAGGGACAAGTCGAGTTCAGCTCGGTTCAGGCACAACACATCAAAGGCTGCCACGGTCCCGGTCTCAATCAAGATCTCCGCGTACGTCTTACTGCAATGAAGGTGAGCAGTTATGGAGCGAGGATACGATAATGCTTCGTGAGGAAGATAAAAGAATACAAAGATATTTCTGTTTTATTAATGACATAATAAAATGTTCGTAATGTTGGTGGTGGATATCAACATATTATAAACAACAATCGCTTTGTTCATACCGAAGGTTGAATATTCAACAACGACATAACCATATTGAATCAACAATAACAAATGGGAATCATTATCAAAGCAATCATTAAAATGAAACGGAACGCAACGTAACACAAACAATGAAATTCAATGGTGCTAAAAATTGGTTTGTATTCGCATTTTACGCAGATTTTCTGTAATGAGTTCATGGTATGTGAAAAATCTGGCAAGATACGGGAAGATAGTGCCGGCAAGCCTCCGTGCCTCAGTTTATACTAGAACAGGTGGACGGATAGGAAAGGTTCTTTCAAAGTGCAGGATAAAGTTATAAGAATTTATATGAAAAAAGTCAAATAAAATCTTGGAGAAGCTTTTCAGGCTTCGAGATGGTGTACCACTGCACGTTGTACCGGTTGTTGCCGTAGTATAAGATGACACACCGACAGTTACTTGGGGGATAGCAAAATGAGTTTGTGACCCTTATTAAACAAACCGGGGACGTAAAGAAACGTAAGCCTCCTAATTTTCAAGAAACACATTATGACGTAGCCAGACCAGGTGAAGTTAAGATTGATAATAACACCCAGGTATTTGACAGACGGTTGTCGATTCACCTGGTTCTTTAAGATAGATTTTGACGTTTTAAAACGGAAGAAAATAAGTCATAACCATTTTGAAGGTTTATACTAAGGTTCCTTTGTTGAGATCACTGCACAGTTTTCGACATTTCATCTTGTATAGTGGTCTAAGACGATGAATTGGGGTAGAACAGTCCAAATATTATACTGTCTGCATACTTGAGAAGAAGAAAAAATGGATCACAGGCATGAAGGAAAGTAAGCGGAAAATAAATAAGGGATAAATAGCTCCTAGCAATAAGTTTTTCGAGGACGGCAGCAGTGAAGGTTTACGACCTTTGTAGCGTGTGAACTGCTTACGGTTGGAGAAATAGTTGGGCAAGTGTTCAATAGTAGGAGGTTGAACGCTGCCTAAAGAGCAGGTATGTACAAATATTCTATCCAATAGCCTACTTGTCGTTTTGAAGGTACCATTATAGTTTAGAAAAAATGGCAAACAGCAAAGGAGGATAAGAAACGTGCGAGGGATAAGCAGGGCATCCAGGATAGCTCGGGAATGGATCTATACAAACTGGTGTGGATCATTAGTATTCAATTATGTAGATAGAACTTTATTCAGGAGACCATTTGGAAACATTTGCGGTTTCAATCGCAAGAGAAAGGCGGCAGCTGTGGGTGAAATGAGTGCAAAAGACTGGACTGAACCAATCACCGGGAAGCTAGAAATTGTGAAGCAAAATGATCCCACATAGAGCAAACCACTTGGAACCCTTTGAAACCATGAGTAGTTTACAATTAAAAGCTTCATGCAATGTCGCTATTAATCCAAATCAGACAGGTTATAGGGAATACAGTGAGACATCTGATTACATACACCAATGGATTTCCAAGATCTTTCTGCGCAGTTACTCAGTTAGAACCGCGAAAGTAAACATCTCATTAACAGCTACAAACCGTCCAAGAAATACAGAAAGGAGCACTCATATAATTGTTTCTCATCGGGGAAAACTTTTAGCTAGGCAAGGCACCTACCGCACATCACCATAGCTTCCAGTCAGCACTTGTTTGACGATTTCGCTGTGTTCCGCACTGCCGAAAGACCTTGATTGCTTAATCGCCTTATACATCGAACGTGGACAATTCTTCTGTTGAAGCTTACGTAGAAGTTGCAAAAATTCGGATTGGTCTCCTCCGGTCACATCGCGGAATCCATCCTGATATCCGCGAAAGTTAAATGTCAAATCGGTGGCTCCGGTGAAATCTGCTGAAGGATTGCAAGTAGCGATACAGCAAAAAATAGTGAAACCAAATACGCCTGTGCGTAAATGCGAGAAACTCCGGTGAAGTTAAAGCACTGACAACATGAGTCGTGTTGGAACCAATTCTGCGGATAAAAGGTATGCCCGATATGTTCAACGGATATTTACGTACCCAGCATTTCGAAGTATTCCGTATCAATTTAGTTCTTCAGCGCTGGGTTGTAGAGTAATTTGTTTTCATTGAAGTATAACAGCTGACACCCCGCTGGTACCAAGTACGTAAAGTTGTTCTCAACAACCCGTATTGTGACATCGTAACAAACCACAGTTTGTGTGAGCAGTGGAGGAGGAGGGGCAGAGGTCCTTGTGTTCCTCCTACCAAAGATATGTCCCCCCCCACTTTATCTCATAACTTGATACTCCTTGTCACTGGCGGCTTCTATTTCCAAATTTTCTAGATTAAGTGAATTATCTCAGTCGACTGAAAGATAGTTCTTGACCATTATATGTGCAAGGCAACTTATGACCTTACATTCTTCTAAGCGCCAGTCAATAGAATCAATCTTTAATTTTCTCGCACCCAACGTTTTGTCCTTCTTGGTGGAATCTTTTCACAGTGTATTTTATATTCACATCAAAATACGAACCAAATTAAAATGACTAAGAAAAACTCTTAAAGGAAGCTTTGGTTTCAAGCCAAAGATGTTGATCAACTGAGAATCTGTGTACTTCCTCTTGGCCTATCAGTGAGCATCTCAACTGGCATCTTACAGTCTCAGTTAAAAAATACACGTATTTGTCAAAATGAATTATGATCAGGTTTCTTAAAACAACTTTCTAAAAAAACTGAAAGGCTTTATAACCCAACAAGCACAATGCAGAGTAACCATACATTGTAATTAAAATGAAGAAATTCAAATGCATTTAACTGATGGGGACTTATCGATCCCGCAACGAGCCAAACCCACCCAAAAGATCAGTAATAATATCTTGTGCGCGTGGAAAATCAAATGACCTAATCCAAACACGATACTCTCAAATGATTGATCCGCCCGAACAGAGTGGCTATTGGTCGGCCTTATAGCTCACGGTATCGACTCCAAAACCGAAGTTTCGCTGTTCAAATCCTGATGAGCACGTAAAACATACACACTGGTGCACAGAACGAACAGAACGAAGCAATCTTCCAGTGTTGTTTGTCGTTCATCACAAATTTTTTCATCACATTTTGATGCATTTAACTGTTAGGACGTCAGAAATCTCCCGCGGACTCAAATCCACACACGAGACTTCCAACCGCGTCTCTTGACTGCTAAGAGCCAGACGGACCAATCCAGACATTCACCGTGCAAAAGGAAATGAATTATTTGCTGGATGTATGTATAAACGGACTGTGTGGCGTCGTAAATTGATCCCAGCTTTGTAACGGCTATATGACAATATGAACTGCATCGTCAGTTTCAACTTATTTCAGAACAAAACTCGTTATCATACTTTTATCAGTCCTCTTCCTGATCCAAAGGGACACCCAATGCTTCTATGATACAGTGCATGGCTTTGATTCATTGTCCCATATTTGTTGTCACTGACTGCAAGACTGCTGACCCTATTTCTTTATTATTAGTTTATGTACTCTGAAAGTTCCATCAGTCAATGGAATTCTGCCATAATAAGAACTATTTTCCTTAAATTGGCAACCATTTTTATGTATCTGACACCTACGTTTGGAAGGGTGACGGTGATCGCCACATTAGACTTAATTCAAAGAAAATACTTCCAGTACGAGCACAATAGTTTTCTTTTTCCATGTTTTGATAACCTCAAAGAGGTTTTTCGAAGATAATGCATTTATTCATAATATTCTTTATCAAACTACACTGCATGGGATTCTGCACTGATTAGTGCGACCTATAAGTTCTCAAACTTTTTGATCAAAAAGTTATGCTGATTGATGTTGTTTAGGGAAAAATCTCGAATTTCTCTGAATTTTCGGCTTTAAGCACACCCAAACAAACCTCTCAAGTAAGAGTCATTGCTCGACTTTGAGTGTTTCAGGCTTCATACGCGCACATAATTCGGAAGAGAAAAGGCATGAAAAAGCACCAGATCATTTTTATGGTCGAGCGTGGTCGGTCTGGGAAACACCATGATCGTCAATCATGCTGTCAGTCATGCGCTATATTACCGACAAACTGAATTCACTTAGGTTGTTACTTAGGACACTGTGGGTATTTGGTGACAATAAAGTCGACAAAGGAAACAAACAACTAATCTGAATTATGCACTGAATGCAGTGTTGTTAGATTAACATCCTTCGAGCGAAAAAACAATAATCTATTTGAATCGCTGCGTTGTTTTATATGCGGATTGAACTATTTATGATGACCACTGGTCTGCCAACAACGCTTCGAGTCTCCCGCGGCCTTGGTAGCACACGTTCCATCATTGAAGCCATTGTTGCATACAGCGCAATGTATATTGCAAATTACATATATATATATATATATATCATCAAAACAGAAAGAAGACAAATGTCACGACATGTTAAAGCTTCGTTTAATCTTCTCAGTCGCTGGCTTAAAACGTACCGTGGAGTTGACTTTTTACTTCTAAATCTGGTAATCTTTGTATGCTTGTACACGTTCTTTTACCATAATTAATTAATCCCATGTGCTATATATATGCTTGTTTGTTTTAAGGCAGCAAATGAGAAGTTTAGACGAAATGTTTACATTTCGTGACATTTGTCTTCTTTCTGTTTTGATGAAATGGATAAAGGGAACTCAATCTTTCATATATATATATATATATATATATATATATATATATGTATATATATATAAATGAAATAGAAATTACAGCAAACACAAAATGTTATACATATAAATTGAATCCGATAGCTCATTCGTGATGACCGTGTAGGGCGCATTCTTGATGGCCAATATTCTCGTAAGTTAAACAGGAATGTGCTGAAATCGTGAAACATCAAACTGACAAAAAGAGTGAAATTATTTTTGTTTGTGGATGTTTTATTGTTAAACGTGTGCTCTTCCACGGCTGCTTGGTCGCGCCGTTTGGAAAGAACATCTATCGAACTGAAACTGAATAAAAAGGATTATTGTTGATACAAGATTAAAAGAGGGTAAATCTTAAAAGTTGTGTTTGGCATTCAGAAATGGTCCGATAAGCACAATACAATCCGAGTAAGACCTTTAGCTTGGTGTGAGAAGTTGTAGATAAGCAACGCTTTTAACATTATTCTAATTATAACCGTTTGAAAATTTGACTGATCAACGTGGGAATGGTATGGGAGGCGGGTGGCAAAAGCTGTTACGCATCCTCTCATTGCAGTGAAATCACTGAGAGTAGAACATTTTAATTATCTGTATAGAAAGAACAGTATCACGCAGATACTGTTCTCAGACAAAAACCATAATAGAGGTACTCGACGAAAGGTGTTTAGTAAGACGATAATGGGTTGAAAAGTTGCCCAGTGTGTATGCAAATTTAGACAAATAGGCTGGGCCGAAAGGTGAATCATACGGTTCGCGATTCCGGTCTTTAAAGTAAGTTCACCCGCTAATCCGAAACACACGCAACTTCGAGTTTCGTTGATCGTAAAACTGAACATCAACTTATTTTCATTCGACAGTTGTTATTCCTTTTGAAAGTTTCTCAAGAAACGTGAACCAGACAAACACGTGATCTGTTTTGATATCGAGAGACAATCAGTTGTTTCGGAGTCAGGCTTAACTGAGCGATGCTTCCCGAGGATTGATTTGATTTTAGCCATTTGGAGTCCTACGAGGGTTCTGTAAACCTATCAGTAAACGAACCGGTTTTGAGTAGATTGGGTGCCTCACTTTCATACGTTTATACTTTCCATTGGTACTATTTAGTATCATTAAGTCAGTTTTTCTCAGACAGAATTTAATCGATCCAACCCGTACCATTTCTAATTCCTAATTTAAGAGCTAATTTTAAATAAACCCTGAGTAGTTTAACTTTGGGGTAAATATTCTTTACTAAATTAATTTTATCTGTAGCGGATTTCTTTTACGCTTTTTTAGTGGTGGTAGCCAAGTGGCTAGGTTACCAGCTTGTGATCTGGGAGTTCCGGGTTCGAAACATTCCACTACTGACCTTCTTCCCAAACTGCCGCAGCCCCACTTCCTGAGTGTTGACTGTACATTTGTGTATTCAATTAATAGAGCAGCAAAACTACTATTTATTTATTTATTTATTTATGGTATGTTTAACCTAATCTCATACGTCTCATTGAATAAATGTCAACTAGAAAACCACCGTTACATATGCGCACTGATGTTTGCATTTATTTTTGATACCCTTCTTTATAAATTTACACTCACACGCGTTTTATGCACCATCCGTTCATCTAAAGCCTCATTTCTGACCGACATTGTATTTTGCTCTAATAAGACTTAATATGTGGTACCTCTTAACTGAACAACTCATAGACTAAACCCTGGAAGTGATATGGGCAAAGTCATTGCAGATGATCAAAAGTGCAAGCAAAACTCAGAGCCAATGTTATTCAGGTATGTGGCTCCCTAAATAAAATGTTTACCGTAGACAGATATGACGTATTAAGAGCGAGCAATTCGAAGGTAATGACAACTGGAAAGATTTGAAATGATTGGATTTCTTCCCATTGTTCGATTCACATATGAGATGAATTAGTTCGTGGCATATTTAAACGGTGCTAAATATCTTGCTTTTGGAAATCGACGGCGAACTGGTGGGCTGCTAGGTTGGTTGGGTAAAACTTACACGCTTGCATCACATCTGAAATAACGAAATCACTATGATTGTAACTCACGAAATTGCGCGATTTGTCTCAAACCCTACCCGGACAGTTTTGATTGTTCATTGATTTGTGCAACTATAAGTTCTCAAAGCCCAGGTTTGCGAACAATTTAGGCGCACAGATTGATACATTGTTCCAATGTGCTCCTCTATTTCCAATACGACTGTTTCCTTATTGTCCAACACTGAAAATACATCGGTGTATCCCGAAACTTTGAAGGGATTTAGCTTTCTCTGACGCTGAATTCTAATGAAGACTCGTTTATTCGGTGTACAAGAACCCAGACTGAACCATAATATGAAACATTCTCCATAATTAATAGATGTTTTTCAGGTTACGCGATATAAACATATGAACGGATGAAAGAAGAGTACAAGTGATGCTATCATTTTTCCGACGTGTTTTTCAATCTTTTCATTATTTTTTTCGGTAATACTCATTGGGTAGTTACATTTTAACGTTTTATTCGCAACTATGGAATACACTTTTGCCTAGACTCTACTTGTGATTCTCATTCATTCATTGATTTATTAATACTATACCGTACCATAATTACCATCAACACCTTTAAATTATGGGCGAACGTTGTTATTTGCTTACAAGAGATAACTTCAGCATCACCAATTATGAGTTCCCTTTTTTTCTTTATCACTAAAACCACCAATTTCCTTCATTCACTGCTGTCTACTCCTAGTGCAGCCTATGGTTATGCACATTGTCTAATAATGTTTCTCCCTGTTTGCCCACATTCCACATTCCCACATTGTGCGATTTATTGACTACTCATGTTCTTTGACATTGCTCCCCCAGAAAAGGGTGTTTGTAATTTCTGTCCACTTCTTCGACACTACTCACATGCTTACCCTTTGCTACTTATTCCACAGTTATCATTACCTATTTACTGGTCTCCGACGGAAGGATAGCCTTCGTTCTACTAAAGTGGATTTAGAATCAAAAACAATTCACATAAATCTCAAAATCCTTAAGCTGGTAATCACTTGTAGGGATTATCAAAGCTCTAGCGTTATTGATTAAACTAATTATGATCCGTGAACATTCATAGGAAAGGAAACTATTGGTACCTTTGAATTTTTAATAAAAGGAAGAATGTATGGTTGGAGCTGGATGTCCACGTTGACGCTCCCATACTACATTCGTTTGTCACCCTCGGACGTTGTTCCTGCCAACTCACCAAGGAAAATTCATGATGCGAAATCTTTGTGAAATTCCAATGTGTACAAACATTTGGATACTTGTTATTTCCCCGCCGCATGACCGGCACCTTTTAGAGCCACTTCCCTAGCAGAAAGAACCACCTCAATGTTTCATTGAATTACTTCATGCATCCGCTTTTCAAAGATTGTTGCAAGCCTTTAGCAATCTTACTCGATCCCCATAGAATCCAACCTTTCTGTAGTTTCACCACTATTTCGTCTGCTCACCTTAACATGTGTCACCTGAATAAGCGAAATGATTATCCCAAGAGGACTACAACAGTCTATGGACCTTCCGAACTATCCACTACAGTTCGCCTACCATCCAAACAGATCTCGTTTAGAAGCAGTCTCTACCCCTATGCGTTTTATCATTAAGCTTTCGAATGACTCGTATAAAACATTTCGGTGTCTAGTCGCCTTCAGTCTTCTTCAGCATTCAACTATATTCTCCAAGATATACTTCATGTGAATATCCAGCCATTTTACCCATTGTACACAAAACACTGGATTTAAAAATGCTTCATCCAGACAGTTAGCTCATTAAGTTAATAAAGTTCGGTATTGACTAGACTCAACTACACTCGGGTTACTTCAAGCAGCGTTGGAGTCCGCTTACATATTTTCCGCATACACTTGCCATATTCAACGCTTTTCTTTGGCACGTGTTTTGAAATGTACTGATGATGTTCAGTTGTGTCAATACCTCTCTTTCGCGTCCTCCGCAGATTCTTTCACGGATTATCTTTCTCAAATCTAGTTTTCCTTCCCCCTCCCCAGTCGGAGAAATAATTATACTCCCCCCAAATGTGTTAAATGTCTGTTCCGTACGTTCTTCATTCCCACTAGACGTAATAATAAGAAATTACAATCCTTTACATTGAGGAGGGCACTCTGTCAATCTATATTAGTCAAACCACATTCAAACCTGGGTTGGTGAACTACGGCAACCAAAACTTTCCATACCAAATTTCGCACAGCTTTTCACCCCTCAATCATTTATTTTCACTTCTGTATACCGGTTTCTCTTGTCGATCACACTTTATTGCTATCAGTTTATATACCCTGTCTTTGTTTAGCAAGATTCTAAAATCTTACCTTCACTGAATTCCCGTAAATCAGTTGATTAAGAATAAGTCAGATCATCACATGACTCATTGTGTCAACTTTATGTAAGGGATTCTTGCACAACCTAATCGTTCATTACGCGTTGAATAAGCACACCATTGTTCCCATCTCTCCACGCGATCTGAAATATGACAAATATCACCTCAAGCAAACGCCCCCGAAATTTTTCTCCGCCCACTCATGCACATATACTCACAAACAGAAAGAAGGTAACAATTGAACCTCGTATTAACCTTTAGGCATGAGTTTGTTATAAATTCTTGGAATAATACTATGTATTGCAACACAAATACAACGCAATCCATGAAAATAGTTTTTCGTAAGACACTAACAAACCTTGATCGCTGTCATTCCATTGACCATCCTCAATTTCCACCCGAGTTAGTGTCGTTTTCACTTGTAAACTTGTCCTGTCCGTCGTATCCGAGTGTTGTGCAATTATGACAGTTTCCTCACAAGTGGAATTTAGAACACCGGCTTTCGTTTCAATCAGTTGCACGCACACAAGCGATCCATCCAAAAAGGGAATTTTCTGAGACCGCTGGAGGGGAAATAATATACAAAAGGATAGACTGAAATAAGCAATTTTGATACTCCTCATAGTCGATAAAAGGAGAATGTTTGCTCATCTATATTGCTCGCCTCGCCAATTTAATTTATTTCCTTGTTTTAAGTAATATGTTTGATGCACATGATTCCGGAAAACAGTATTCTCCACCTTTATCAGTCAGTCGCTTATAACAAGACGTCATGACGGCAGTTCCAAATTAGCCAACTTAAATAACAAGTGTGGAAACATCAGAACTGGAAACGCTGCTTCAAATAGTCCACAAACTCTGTGGTGCACAAGCTAATAACCTTAATTGTGTACCTTAGGTGAAAGTGGATACAAATCTAACCTTCCTTCAGTTACTGATGACAACACCTTAAAGGGATGTGCAAGCACACGATAAATAAGGCTAAAGGCCGAGTGCGTCATCATTCGATGACCAGTGTGTCAGAAATGTTATAAATCGAATTAGTAAAATAATCCCATGGACAATGTAGAAAACGGTATTTGCGAAGAAATTTCTTTTCGATATATCGCATCAGGCGTTTACATATATAAGGTGATCACAATACAGATGTCTGATTAGAGCTCAGTTAGTAACGATGACAGACGCGAGCAAACAGATCAAAAGAATATGACAAGGCTAATTAGACAGTCATGGGTGGGGGTGAGAACACAAAGGTCAAATAGACAAACGTTCGAGAGAGGAGCAGATTAAATGAAGGTTGTGAGCTAAGACGAGAGAGGGATGGAGTTACGTAATATACGGTAAAAAATTTAGGTCATGCGCAGCAAGTGATGTGATCAGGAAGGGACATTAGAGACAAAAACAAGATAATTAGTTCTTAAGGTTGGGAATGGTGATACTATTGGCGAAGAAAAAGGAACGGGACGGGGAGGGGTTTGATGCTCTGTTTTATGCACAATCAATCCGCTGTCCAGACCAGGGCAACAGCAGTGTCTGGATCAGCTTTTCTTGCTTACATAATTCTGGATTGAAAATTCGGATTGCAATCGCCTCGACCGTGGTTAAAAGCCGCTTTCTTATCCCTTTGGAAAATCTCCGGGGTATAGTGTGAATAATTTTGAACGCGTCGAATTTGTTCACAGAATGCCTACTATCGACGAGATGGCCGAGAACCGAGCTGCGAATAGATCTAACCGTTCCTTTATAGAGGGCCGCGGAACAGTGCTCAATGATGCGTTTTGATAATCACCTGGTCGTATGTCCAATGTATCGCACACTACAAGTGCACGTGAAAAGATATAGAACGAAAAATTTGGACTGAAAGGGCAACTTATCTTTAATTTGCTGGGACACCAAGGGCCGAGTGGTAGTGAGGATATGCGGTTGAGCTGCAGGGTACGTTCTAGCGATCGCTTTTGACAAACGTCCTTTAAGAAGTTCCGTCGCCCTTAAACGGCACAGTAAGGAAAACGTTCTTGTGAGGAACGGTGGGGATTTTGCTCGGGTTGGTCTTCAAACTTAAATGTTCACGAATAAACGCTTCCGGGTAACCATTTGACCGAAGTACGTCATGAATAAAACGTATCTCCAACTGCAGTGTATCCTCGCAGCAAATCGCACGCGCTCGGTATGATAAACATCTTACCAGGTTGCGTTTATATTTCAGGGGAACAAAGCTACAAAAATGCGTGTACTGTCCAACCCACGTTGTTTTGCGGAAGACGCTTCTTTGGATGGCACCGTTGTCCCGCTTTGTTAATAACACATCTAAGAAGGGTAGCTGTCCGCTCTTCTCTAGTTCGCAGGTGAAACGAATAGCCGGATGACACTTGTTGAATTCGTGGAGAAGCTGTGTGTGGTTGGTGTAAGAATCACAAACGATGAAAGTATCGTCGAGGTAT